CCGACCTCAGTGGCGTTCGTGCTGTGAGTTTCTTTGTCCCACCCCATCCCTCTTAGTCTCCCCCTCCAACCACCATCTTATTACTTAACCTTATATAATTTTGCATAATAATTTTTTTGGGTGCACAGCAGCCGGCTGGTAGCTTACCGGAACGATGCCCATCCGTTACCGGTAGCTCAGCCAGTTTTCACCAGTTTTTTTCTCTCTCCTTTTTCTTTGTATTGCGGCACAGTAGATGAGGTGTTCCCCACCTCTAGCTAACGTGTATGATGATGGTGATGACCCTAGAGCAACAGATAGCACTGAATAAGTTGCGTTGGCTCGGGCACTTGTTACGTATGCCTGGTCACCGCTTACCTAGGAGGGTCTTGTTTAGCCTGTCAGGTGTAGGGTGGCGCAAGGCTCGCGGTGGACAGAAGTTGACTTGGCAGAGGGAAATGAAGTCGCTAACGACCAAACCTAGTGCCGTTGGTCCGTCTCGCCTTCCGGGTTGGAGTCCACCTGACTCACCTTGTGCTTGGTTCGAGACTTTGCAGGACATGGCTCGCAACCGACACCAGTGGCGCGTCTACTGCCGTCTTCTAATCGGATTGTCTGTTTAATGTTTGGTGCTGAGTTATCTGCTGGGTACTGGGTGATTATGACGCGTGGCATTAAAAGCCGCAAGGAAGCTGTCTCGCCGATGCCGCCTTATCTTTGCACGATAGCCAGCTGTTTGTGACGGTATGTTGTCTACACAAGGTGTAGGCGCCTTGACCCTGAATGTTTGCTTAGGGCATTAAGGTTTTCAGGTAAGTTCCCCTTCTCTCCCTCTTCTTATTCTTTATTTCATAGGTCCTCATGGTTGTATGGCAGCGAAGCATCAGTTCAAATGGCTGATGTACGGCTGTTAATGATGATGATGATGACCCTGACAATATCTCAGCCCACGTACAGCAATAACTATTTCATCAACAACATCTGATTCACGGGTATCAGTAGTCCACTGACATACTCCAAGACACGGTACTGGGGCCCATTTTGTTCCTTATCCCCATAAATGATGTTCCCCAACATTTCCCTTCGTCTTGTCCGTTGTGTGCAGACGACTCGAAGGGATGGAGAGTAATCAGTTCGCCCGATGACTGTATCCTGCTTCAGCTTGCTCCTGACCACCTCTCCATGTGGTCTGCAAAGGTCAACCTTCCGATAAACCCGGTCAAGTCGCTGTTCGTGAGCTTGGACATGGCCAATCCTACACTATGACCTGTCAACCGTAGCACTCCATGGATTTCGTGAAAGACCTCTGTATACTCTCGCGTTTGATACCTAAAGTCCGTAAGCAACGCGAATAGGATGGAGTGGGTACAGCATGTAGGCACCAGGTTCATCCTCCCTTTACGAGTTGTGCCATACAAAGACCATCCAATGCAGGTTGACCTAATCATGATGCACCGGATATTACATCTTGGTGATTACCCCATGTTGAAGTCACTGCCCCATATGCTTATACTAAGCAGCACACGAGGACACCGGTACAGGCTTGTAATACCGGATTTGAAGCGGATCACTCACCAACTGCTTCGAACGAAGAGTAGTGAATACATGAACTAACTTGCCACCGCACATAGTCGAAGCGAAGTCGGTGTTGGAATTCTAGACATTCCTGTACAAACATTTTGCCGATGTGAAATGTCGCCAATGATCGCTAACAAATCGGTCATTGTACCGGAGGAATTTTAGATGCAGCCAATATGTCTTCTTACTGATTCCTTACAGCATTCTAACTTCAGCCACCTGCATCCGCTGTCGCGCAATTTTCAGTGTCACCTTATCTGCTGCATACAGCAGGGTAGATAAGCAAATACATGCTGCTGGTGATACCTTCCTACTTTCTTTTCCACCTGTTCTCCCTCCCCTCTCGACTCCCATTATTAATCTGCTTTCTATGGTCCATAACTTAATGGGCAGCAGCCACGATACCACTGGAGTCATATCATCTGCAGCTATCTTCTTGCACCACTCACTGGGCACTTATCAGCAACAGGCCTCTATAAGGCCACGTTGTCCCGTTTCCCTGGCGGCGTTCAAACTTCACACTCTAGGACAATTGGTCAACAGGCTGCACTCGCACGCACATTGGACACTGGCTATTGATGTGTGTTGTGTGTCCGAAATTAGGATCAATCGATCCTCCCATTGTTAAACAAGTTGCGCCCGGCTTTATCCTCTCGCGATTAGTTTCACGCATCCAGACGCTGATACCGTAAGAACTGGTTACGCTGGGGTGGACATTGTTCTCACCTCCAAGGCTGAGTCATCCTTGGTTGGTTAGATTTCCGTGAACAGCCGTTTGTGTGCAGCCCGTTTGACGACAGCAATTAATTTTTATTCACGAGGTACTACGCAGTTTGTTCGTGGTTTCCGCTTATGCCCCCACCGACTGCAGTTCTGATTCCGCCAACGGAGTCTTCTACCACGCACTGTACACGCTGCTTCACAGCGTTACCATTTAATATCTCACTGTTGTTGCAGGGGATATTAATGAAAGTCCATCAGCAGTATACCGATACTTTGCGTGGACTCTGCCTCGCAAGCTCTACCAGTCGCACATGGTGTGGGGTCCCTCGGTCCCCTACACATGCCCCAGCCCACGACCTCCAGCTTGTCCTTTCGGCCACGGGCCAGCGGGCGACGTAAATACGCAAGTCTGTTTTCTGGGCTCTGCAGAAGTTGAGCTAGGTGGTAAGCATGCACTTGACTCCTACCGTACGGACAACGGCTTGCGCTTGTTTAAACTGTTAGCGGAGCACCGGGTGTTTATTAGTAGCACAGTGGGCGCCGTAGTGGCACTTGGCATCGCCTTATAGTTGCCCAGCGATTAACCCAAATAATTCACGTTGCCGTTAGTTATAGGTGGCGTGGTCCTCCTCTGGATTGTCGCTCGTACTGCAATACGTGCGTCGACTCTTATCATACCTTGGTACATTGTCACTTTTCCATGAGCTTTACCGGTTGGCGTTCTAAGTGTGTTTTTCGGTTGGCAACCGAAAATCCATCCTAGTTTTTGGTTATTCAAGCTTATCAGGATGCTTTGCGTATCGAATTTCGACCCTCTCACCTTACGGTATTCGAGCTTCATTGGAATAAGATCTCAACAGTCATGAACGATGCTGGAGCCTCTGCTCGCAGCACCACCAGCCGTCACTGCACTAGTCACTGAATATTCGAGAGGTCGATGAACCTGTTGGAATCCAGAAGATAACTCCCGCCTCGCTCTAAGCACAGTGTAATCAAACGGACTATTAGGCTCGAACTAAATTAGTGACTGGTGCTGACAAGGAAGTTTGGTGGATCAGCAAGCCTTAAAAATGGAGGAGGCGGAAGCAGTAGGCGTAGCCTCACATGTATTCACTGACGTTCAGTGCAACATCATATCAAAACTTCCTTGCAGCTGTACGCCACTGCATTGTTGTTCACATTCTTGTCTCAGCCTTCACAAATGCTTCCAATTGATCCGCATCACTAGTCCTAGGAACACAGGTACAGAAGCTCTAATCCATAATAAGGAACGCTATTTCACTCGTTTATCGGAACATGGTTCATAATAGCTCAGTTGGCTCCCTGCTTTTGTGTCTGTTCCTACTCAGGTGGTGTAGGTTGAGCCATGACCGATTAATTTAGAGACCACCTGAGGTCTGAAACACGATCACACCTCTTAATTCTTTTCGAGCTGTTGGTCCGGATTCCATGCCACCCACACCATTTATAGATGGCGGTGAGGTCCTCTGCAGAGCACTGGCCCACCTGTTCGTACACGTCTCGTGGAAGCAAGAGGCCATCTCAGGTGACTTGAATGAAGCGATGATAATGGCAATATACAAGAGGGACATTCGTACCAACGATGCTAACCACCTGGGTCCTAGCCTAAAACCGGTGGTGACATAATTACTGGCCTCACTTGTCTTTCGTGGGTATGCTGCAGAATGAGGAATTTCGGTCTAGAGAAGATCAGACAGGCTTCCGCCCAAGACCGGGTTCACAGACCACGTATTCATTTTGCGACATTTGCAAGAGCAGCGTCACGTGTGCTGCAGACCGACAATATTTACGTTCAACTGGGTCGATTGATCCATTCTGCTCTAAATACCCTTGCGGAAAGCTGTTCCAATGCAATTTGTGAACATTACTCGAACATCACATACTGCGTCAGAGTCTACAGTGACTTGCCGTATGTCTTTCAAATTGTTAAGCCAAGCTTTTGAAATGGGGTGGTGGATGCAGAGACTCACGTTTCTCTCCTTACCCATTTTTCCGAACGCGAGTTTCATCATCATCATTGTACGGTTACAGGGTATGAATTTTCCCAGCTATGTTGTCGCAATACAAACAGGTAAGATGTACAAAAATATGGAATACTAGATGTTGCATAATAAAAACTAAAAACAAGAAATAGTTTGCATCGCGCTTGCACACCGTCGATGTTTCTCTTTAACAAGTTTCGAGACGTAATAGTGGCTTCAACGCACCTTGTGTATACGTGCGACAGTTGCCAATATATACTCATTCAGAACCATATAATCTCTTGAAGTTGGCAGGTGGGCCGGGTTTCCTGCATTTCAGGAGTATAAGTTATCTCGGTTATCCTCTGCACCCTGGGCTAGATCGTCTAAAAGAACTCCGCTTCTTTTGACTTTAAGCGCTCCTCACGGACACTGTCGTGTGTATCCCTCCTTGCTCCTCGATCGTCAGTGGATGGAGTCTTATTGGTCACCCTAATGTGACTTGGGCTTGGGGCATATTTGATGCCCATGTTGCCTACGCTTTATTTTTATGGGACCATGTTTTCAGCCTGCGTATTGCATGCCTCTGAATTGACACGCATATCTGCAATGCTAATTGTCTACGAACGCGACTGATTTTCGGTTTGCGCTTCTGTCCTGTGCTTTTCCTCGTCCGGCTACCTGTAACTGTTGTGTATGTTCCTCAGTCGTAATTCATCCTTGTATGATTTTTTGTAGTTACGATCCAACTCATCAACAGCACAACGGTTACGAATGCGACGCAAATGCCCCTTGCATTGCATCGAACTCTACTGAGGACTATCATTTTTTATGCGATAATCCACGCTCAGGAGTTAACAACCTACAAGTGGATCATTCCACGGCTCTTAACGATCCGGCGCCCTCACAAAAGCATAGTCGACCACACAATTCTTCCCTCAGCCCTGCGATAGAATCTCCAAAAACGGATTATCGCTTAAACGGGTCACCCGTCTGCCCTGCTTCATCTCCGCGCGATGAAGGTAAGCTATAAACTTTACGCCTAGTCTCACTTCTATTCACCAGCCTTCTGTGCAACGCCAGACCCAAGCTTTCATTTCAGCTGGACGGCATTCTCCACTGTCGTTCGCGTTCCCGTCTCATCCCCACTTATCCTCATGAACCAAAGCTTACACCTTGTCATCACGTTTTAAAAAATCGTCTGTGTATCGTATGCATATTTTAACTTTCTAATGAACTGCTTATCGCTGTGCTTCCGTAGTTTACCATGACTCTTGCTCCTATGGGCGCTGTCAATGCGCTCTATGACAGCAGCAATGAGTGATGTTTACTTGGTCTCGTTGCTGAATTTTTCAACCTCTGTTCTCTGCTTACTTGAGTTGGCTGGTAGTCGTCGTTCCTGACCGGTTGTACGCAGTCACCACATATACTTCTTTGATCTCCGTTCCGTTCACTGCGTCACACCTACCATCACCCATCTCATCTACAACTATGCTTTATCTACCGTTTGGCAGTCGCCACTATGCATTTCATTGAGTGCACGTAAGCCAGTTCTATGCTCTTTGCCAATTTGCGCTGCTACGATACCTCAGATGTTGGCAGACAGTGGAACTAGCCACAGTATTCGATCGTCATTCTTCCATCCATCCTACGCATGTATAGCAAAGAAAGATGACGGTATTAGAAGGACCAACTGCTATCACCACCAGCGCAAGAACCGCATCGGGTTTTCACCGCCCACCGTCTGGTCTCTTTTCTCTCGTCTTTTTCACCATCAATACACATATCTTGGGACACGCTTAATGCACTATACACTCAGGTGTCTTGATGTAACTTGGAGTAGTTACTAATAGATCCAACTAGCGAATGGCAAGCGTGTAGGAACGTCATTCTTCAAGTATACATTACGGACAATTTCAGTCGCTCATGCATATACACAAAACACATTCTTCCTCTTTTTTGCCAGCCACTGATTTCAAACCTAGATAGCCATAAAAAGCGTCAAACTCTAGTTGAACCGAGCTCAGTCAATGCACATAAAATAGTGGCCAGATTAGCCATAGGTGTTTTTTGAGTCAAATCACATGCTCTTCCTCAGCTGTGTCATACGCTTGTGCCTTTTTACTTCCCTAACGTTGTGAGAATAAGCGCATCAACACAAGCCATTGGGGTTATTAGACCCAACTTTTGTTTCCTTCCACGGCGAAGTTGATCTCCAGCACCAGTAAACACTGCCTCCCATAAGCCTAGTAAAGGGAATCTTCTCAACATTGCTTTTGTTTTCTATCTTGGCAGCAGGCCGTTCAGTTGTGCTCTCTCATTGGTTTTCTTTCATAACGGCCACGTCCTTTAGTTCGATCATTGTGTGTTTCCATACCTATTTCCACTGACAGTTTTGTGAATGGATGTATGCTTTTATTTCTAACTGTTTGGAAGACAACTTTGCTAACTTCTTCTGCCTCTTCTTCCTATCCATCATCTTCCGTTCGCTCAACTTCCGGCCGCATGCACAGAATACCAAGATGATTTCTCCAGGTGAGCGACATTATTGGTACTTTCTTTGCCATACTTCATACTCAACTTTTATATTTTCCCACGTTGATGGTTTATGTTCACTCCGTAGCTCTCGCAACCTCTGTTTGTCTTGTCCCACAAAGTCTCTTCACATGGTTGGCGGCATCCGGTTCCGGATTTGCATGTAACTACGTCCTCCATAGGGACAGTCTCAGGACGCACGCGCCTACAGAGGGACCATGGGTGGCTTGCACTGCACCACCCATACTCCATCCAAACACCCCATATCCAGTGTAAACCCGAAAGAATAAGACCGGGACGCATGTGGATGGGAGCTATGTTTTATTGACGGAGCCAGTCTACGTGGCTTCAACAAGCAGAGAAGAAGCATTCATGCCTAATTTGAGAATCATGCGTCTCAGACGTACGCAAGGAAGTGGCTGGGCCATAGCCCGTTCCACACTGGATGAAACCACTCTTTGATCTCGGCACTTCCTCGAAGACTATGCACTCGATATCCCCAAGCAGCGACCAACTGTTTTCCGAAACGAGTATAATCGAGGTAGCGGTTTTTCAGCAGGTACGCACCTCGTCATTATTCACATCAAGCATAGTCACACCGGGGATATCTATCAACAACTAAAACACAACACGTACGCACACTTACAGATCAACTGCAGCGATGGTGTTGCCCACTTACCCTATCGACCGCATTATTGACCTGGGTTAGTAACTTGAATTTACCAAGCTCTGCGCTGAGGATGATTACATGTTTAGCTTAGCCGTCTTCTCTTTGATGTTAGCCACACGAGGCCACACTGGTGGGTTGCCAAGCCAGCTTGGCTCAGACACTCGTGCTCACATGTGCTACAGCACCATGCGCTTGACATCGATGGGTTAGACTCCATCGGCGTTTCTCTCCCGCGTGCAATTACGGTTTTTCCTGCATCTGAGCAACCGCCTTGGCAAGCTCACACCATTGGTGCCGATCAACTGCCTTTACTTCCCACTACTGAACTCAACATTAGTTCGTGACAAACTCACCTTGCTCATTTCTTTATAACGTAGCTTCGGCTTTCCAACGTTCCGCTCCTCTGCACTAAGCTGCCCATACGACAGCTGCTTGAGATTCCGCGTCTAATCCATGCGGCTGCTATGGTCGATCCACCTTATGCGCCCCACCAGAAGTATGCCTATGTTCTGTGCTAACTCAACCGCCCAATCTCCACTCACAGATCACCCCACCTCGCCTCCTTCACCCACATGTACTTTTATGTCTTCTACGGTCACTGTCACAAACGACCCACTTCTCGCAACTGATGAAAGCAACAGCCAAACTCCCGGTTTTCAATGTCCTGCGATCGCAACCGCCTCTCACTCCACCGAAGCTCCAGCCCTTCTTCAACCTGGTTCTCCATTCATCCTCGCAGCGTTTAATGTTCGAACTTTGATGCAGATCGGACGACAAGCATGTCTGGCCAGTACTCTTGAAACGCTTTCATTAGACATCTGTTGTCTTTCAGAGACCATCTTACAAGACTCTAGCGCCGTCATCAGATTGGCCTCTCCGGTAAACCCTGACGCTAAATACTACTTGCGGCTTTCCGGAGACCCAGAAGATGCCGCCACTGGCCAAGCTGGGGTTGAAGTTGTACTGAGCGCCAGGGCTGAATTAGCTCTGCTTGACTAGATCCCAGTCACCAGTCGGCTATGTGCAGTCAGGCTACGAGGTTCATGTAACGTAATCAGACGTCGAGACATTCAGCGTGCCTTGTTTGTCTACTCCGCCTACGCCCCTACAGACTGCAACCCGGATGCAGTTAAAGATAGCTTTTACCAGCAGCTACATGAACTTCTGCGTTCCTCCAAAAGGACTGATATAGTCATTCTTGCCGGGGATTTTAACGCACGGGTTGCCCGCCTTCCACCAAACGAGCAACACCTTGAGGGTAGCTTTGGTCTCGGTGGCAGTCGATCAGACAATGGAGACAGACTGCTTGCTTTTTGCTCTGATCATCGCTTGTTTCTTTCGAGCACTATTTTTGGGCACTCGAGGAGACACACTGCTACCTGGAGCCCGCCCTCATAAACGCTCCCAGCTTGACCACATAGCAATCAGCTACAGATGGCGCGGAATCGTAACGGATTGCCGATCGTACCGGTCAACTTTTCTAAACTCGGATCACGCATTGGTTCGTGCTAAGGTTTGCATGCGTTTCGGAGGATCACCTAAGCGCACTCACTACCGACCGGACAAATCTACTGCAAATCTACAAAACCCTGCTATTTTAACCAGGTCCCAAGTCTCACTGTCAACCTTGCTTGGCTCAATTATTGACGGTGATCTCGATACGCAGTGGGCGCATATCAAAGGCTTTAATTTCCGCCAGTACGGACACTCGTGGAGTTGCCCGTCACCTACTGAAGCATTGGATTTCCGCCGACTCCTTGTCGCTGATGGACAAACGCCGCTTGATCCCGTCGGATTCCAGACACAGTGGAGAACGCCAATCCCTTGGTCGAGAGTTGCGCAGCAGTCTGCAAATGGACCGCGAAGCTTGGTGGTGTGAACGTGCTAGGGAGATGGAGCTTGCTAGTCTCTCTGGTAATACCAGAAAACCTTTCCATCTCATTCGAGTCACCGAAGGTGTTCGATCTGGTATAAGTGAAGCAATATGCGAAGAGAATGGCACCTTAATCACCGATCTTCAACGACGGTTGGAGCAATGGACCGAACATTTTGGCTCGCACTTTTGTTGGCCCCCAGCTCCATCTGCTACCTCTTGAGAACCCTAATAGTTCTCCTGTCTAGGCCTGGGCAACCTGACAGTATCCTGCCCACGCAATACTACCAATCTTTCCTCAAACAGTTTCCTGATGCTCTGGCCACCGCAGAGGACAATCAAAGACGCTCTATGTGCTGCATCGGGCAGGGTGGATAGGGTTTCAGGTATCACTGCGCAATCCTTCCCGTCATCTTATCCCCCCTCTTGCGCATTTTCTTCCTTATCGTCCCGTTCCAACTTCACTTTTATCCCCCTGCTCTCCATCCCCCAATTCTCGGCCCTCCCCCTTGTTTGTTCAGCAATCGTCCGTCCTCTAATTTCAACTCCCACGCAGTTGCATGGCGTCGCTCCGGTCCATTCGGTATGTTCATCTCCAGCCAAACGGACAGCGTCAGTTCATCTGCTTCTATTTCGAGCTCTCGGTCCTACCTACGACTGGCATGCTTCAATGTGCACATTTTTTGCAAACTGGTCAACAGGTAGCATTTGCTCGGACACTGGAGACCCTGACAATCGATGTTTGCTGCTTGTCTGAAACTCGCCTTCAAGCTTCGAGTTCTGTGGTTACCCTGCGATCCCCAACTTGCGACACTGGCGGTAGTTTCTTTTCGCGTTTGTCCGGAGATGAGGTGGCTTCAAATGCCGGTCAATCGGGTGTGGGCATTGCTCTTAGCCCCCGGGCTGAATTTGCCTTGATCGATTGGATCCCAATGAACAGCCGGATGTGCGCTGTCCGATTGGCTGGCTCATTCAAAGCATCGAAATTGCATGGGGAAAAGCGGTACTTGTTTCTTATTGTGGTCTATTCTCCCACAGATTATAACGCTGCCTCGCTGAAGAACGGCTTCTACCACCAATTAAACGCGCTCCTCTGTAACAGAAAAACTACGGATACTGTGGTACTTGCTGGTGATTTGAACGCCCAACTCGGGAAACTGTCCACTGATGAGCTTCATCTGGGCGGTCAACGCGGTGTAGAGTCCCGTAATGATATAGCAGTGAGCGGTTACTACACCTGCGTGAAGATGCTCGTCTCTTACGAGCACAAACTTCCAACAGCACCCGCCGGAGGGTTACATGGCGCCCATCAGTCTCTGACCAGCCATGGACGCAAATCGATCACATTGCGATCAGTTTCCACTGGAAAGGATGCGTTCAAAACTGTCGCTCGATTTGGAGCACGAGCGTGGACTCTGGTCACGCACTTTTGCTCCGACCTCCGGGTGCGTCTCAGTGGACGTCCGCAACGACGCTATGAATTCATGAATATTTACCAGTTGGTGAAGCCACTTGTTCTGAGTGCGTATCAAAGTACGTTGGCATCTGAGCTGAGTAAACGCCCAGTGAACACAGTTGATGAACACTGGTCGCATATCCGCCTTCATGTGGCAAATCAAATTGCCAACCTGGACTTTGGGTCTCTACACGGTATCTGGAATTTGTGGATGCTCGCCAACGTGTCCCGGCTGGAAGCGAATACAATGAAACTCGAAAGCTCTCAGGGCAAAACTACATGCTAGCCTGAAGAGAGATCGCGAAGCCTGGTGGTCTCATCATGCCTCTGCGATGTAAACAGCCGCTGCCCTTGGTAACAATTGGAAGTTATTCCGTTTGATCCGAGAAACGGGTAGCAAGAAACCTGGTGTTTGCAAGACCATATGCGATGAGCGTTTACGGCCGATCCACAGCTTGTCAAAGCGCTTGGAGCGTTCGACCGAACACTGAAAAGTAGTTTAATCAGTCAGCGTTGCCAGTTTCTCGGTCAATGAGCGCCTTACTCCCTGAGCCGTCCCCTTGGATGCGACCCCGCGCGCAGAAATCGAACGTGAGATCAGACGACTGAAATTGAACAAGGCTGCCGGAGCAGATGGACTTCATTCAACCCTCTTCAAATTTGGGGAACGTGCTCTTCTGGACGATTTACATTCTCTACTATTGAATCTATGGGAGCAAAAGACTGTCCCGACAGACTGGAGGTGCTCCGTAATAGTTTCGATTTTCAAAGCATCCCCACGTTCCGAATGCAGCAGTCATGGGGGAATCAGTCTAATCTCCATTGCCTTTAACTTGTTTGCCTCTGTTGTCCTCCATATCCTGACTGGCACTCGTGAAGGTCATATGCGCGAGCAGCAAGCCATGTTTCGTCAAAATCGAAGCTGCATTGATCACATCTTCACATTACGTCAGTTGCTGAAGCACCGCCATGTTTATTGGCGATCCACCGTAGCCGTGTTT